ATTTCCTCAACTTATAGTGTAAAACATTTATGCTGTCTTTCAGCATCGATTGTTTCCTCAACTTATAGTGTAAAACATTTATGCTGTCTTTCAGCATCGATTGTTTCCTCAACTGACAGTGTAAAACATTTACAGATAGCCCTCGTGTAGTTTTGCGCGAAATTCAAAAACAAACAAACAAGCTGTACTGGGACCATTACGTGTATCGAGACCCGATTTTTAGTATTATAAGCCCTCAGAGTTACTGGTGGGCCACTAGGGGCTTTAGTTTGAATACCGTGGATGTGAAGTAGCCATGTTTTATTGACAAGGTTCTTAACATTATATGTTGAATGGTATAAATATGTCAACACCGCACTTAATTTAACATCCAACAAATTTGCTAAGGTGTTTAATAGAAAATATATTAAAGAAATTGCAATGTGTATTTAAACACCAATGTTTTGTTGTTGTTCTCTTTATGAAGTAACAAATAAAGAATTAACTATATATTTTAAAGCAAAATTTCCTTTTTTTTTCATAAGTTGACATTTTTGATTGGTTGAGAGCGATGTTTTGTATGCACAAACTTTTTTTTTGTTTTACTTCGAAAAAAACAACAAAAACATAAACATTATAGTGTTCTTAAATATACAGTTTATATTTTTTGTGTGTGAAGTCACCTATGTAAAACAAGTTTCTAAATTTTTCTTTATTAATACGATTTAGATTTAACGTTTCATGAACAGTTTCTTTAACCACCATAACTGATATAGGCAGTTTTCCAAATTGATTTGCCCCCAGGTGTCTCAGCGGTGTGTCTGGGAGATTTATAACCCTAAAAAATAGGGTTTCTAAATCCGCGGTGGGCACAGCACAGACAGCCCGTTGCATAGCTTTGTGCTTAACACGAAACAAACCAAATTGGTTTATAGTTCATTGACGTTGGTTGGTTGCTTGTTTGCTCTAGAGCAAAGCCACATTGGGCTATCTGCCGTTTCCACGGCGGGAAATCGAACCCCGGATTTTAGCGTTGTAAGTTCACAAACTTACCACTTTCCCTCCGAGGTACACTCGTTGATGTATCCACCAGGCATGTGATTTATATGATAGCGTTTGTTAATAATATTTAAACTGTTTCAGAAAAATAAATTCTAGCACATTTTTTTCTGTATATGTGAAATCAGAAGGGCTATCTTGTATAACAATACACATCGTCCTTCCTTATCTATTTGTTTTAGGATGAGTCAACGAGAGCGGCCTTATGAAACGCTGGTGTTGAATCCTGACCCAACTTATTCTAGATCCAGCCATCAGTGGGATCTATAAATAATGCTTAAAAGAAGAACAAAAACATACTGTGATGAAATAAAACAAGAAAATTAAAATGATGTGTTTTTATTGTGGCTACAAATATATTGCTAAAAACTCAGATTGAAAATAAACAGCCAAATAAAAACAGAAGAGAACAGTCCATCAAATATCATTTGGAAGGTTTCGTCAAGATTGTTAGAAGAACAGGTAGAGAAATTCTGTTTGGAGTTAACCACTTTTGTTAATCTCTCTCTCTTCTTTCAGTTCTTTATAAAACAAGTCGTCAATGCATTTTTATTTGCCACAGTTACTCCACCCTTTCATTAAAACTATTGATATGTACAAATAATGTTGTTCTGTATCTGCAAACATATTAGATTACATTCAATTGGCTGAAAATTGTTTATAAATATATATATATATATATATTTGAATGCATTAATTTTCCTATTGTACAAGTAGTTTCATGGTAAGTACTCCCAACTAGCAGTTACCCAGTGAAGTAGAATTCCAGTTGAATAGTTTTTTTTTTGTATTGTATTCCCTCAATTTATTTCTGCTTGTTTTCACTCTAAGAATTATTATGAAATCACGCTATCTATCATTATTTGGTTGTTATGTATATATATACGTTTTCATTTTAAGAGTTTTTTTGTCTATTGATGATAAGATATTAAATTTTTTTTATTTAATGTTTTCTTCGTGTAATTTTATAAATTGTTTCAAAAAGTAATTGTGTATTTCAGCTGTATGGACTTTAATAAAAAAATAACAAAAAATTTAAGTGTGTAGTTGCCTTTACATTGATAAAGTCTATCCGTAAAAGCAAATGTTGAACCTTAATAAGCAGACTTACTTATAGCTTGATTGTACTGTGTATTTTGTATAGAGACTTTTTAACTGAATATCTTTCTTCACGTCAATTTATAAAAGACTGTTAAAATTAATTCTTTATAACGTTGTCTTTCTGTCTATGATTAGGAGTTAAACTAACAAGAAAATGCGGTCAATGAAGGTTTGATTGTATCCATATTTAAATATAACACTTGGGCTAAAGAATCGGTAAGCCATCAACAATGTAAAACAGTAAAAGAAATGAGGACTGAGGATCGTCATAAGACAATTTATTCGAGGTCTGGTGTGATCTGGTATCACCAACTAGACAAGATTTGATTTCATATATAATCAACAGGATAAACAGATACACGTGCTAATTAACAGGTGTATGTAATACAGAAAGAAGGGAGTTTATTCGTGCAAATAAAAGTAAACCTAGTCGTGAATAAATGCCGTGAAGCCACATGTGAAACTTGGCCAGGAGAAAACCACGAGAAAGGTCAGGAGGAGAGGCGTATCATTAGTCATAATTTGCCAGACAGTAGTTAGGGGGCAATTCATAGTATACTTGGTAGGGTGTTGAACTATACAGAGTGAATTTAGTTTAAAATAAATTAACAGTTAGATAGATAATACAACCATAGTCTACCTCAGATGGGTATAAATCAGTAGAAAAGGTAAGGATTGGGTAACCAGTCCCTTACTTCTCACCCAAGAATAATAAAACATAACATCTTTTGACGTATTTCAACAAGACGACGGTGCCAACTAAAATATCAGTTCACGATGGCTCGCATTTTGTTATATTCAAATACGTTTTCAATGACAAGGTAAGCTATCGTACATATCAATTCAGATCACATAGGCGCCTAACAATGGCGGGGAAGAAGCGGCACGTGCCACCCCATATTGAATATTTTTTTTAAAAAAAATTTCTCGCCTCGTTTACTCGCTAGTCTTTCTTTACAATTGCCCCCCCCCCTTCCCCGTCAGTTTTTAGAAAGTTAGGCACACGTGCTAGATTATATTTATGGTTAGGAAAAACAAGAATTTTGCAAAGAAGAAATCTCAGTTAGTAGACTCGGTTATCTAGTTTATTTAAATATCTGTATTAAAAATGCAAGATACACTGAAGCTATGTCCCTATCACCTAGAAAATAAAAGATACATTGAAGCTATGTCCCTATCACCTAGAAAATAAAGATACATTGAAGCTATGTCCCTATCACCTTCAAAACACAAAATACACTGAAGCTATGTCCCTATCACTTTTATAATACATGATACACTGAAGCTATGTCCCTATCACCTTTAAAATACAGTACACTGAAGCTATGTTCTTATCACCTAGAAAATACAAGATACACTAAAGCTATGTCCCTGTCATCTAGAAAATACAAGATACAGTGAAACCATGTCCCTATCACCTGGAAAATACAAGAAACACTGAAGCTATGTCCCTATCACCTAGAAAATACAAGAAACACTGAAGCTATGTCCCTATCACCTAGAAAATACAAGAAACGTTGAATCTATCACCTAGAAAATACAAGAAACACTGAAGCTATGTCCCTATCATTGAACAGAAATGTTATCAGCAAAATGCTGCCAGAATTATTCTGCTCTATAAGTGAAACGAGTATTAGTTTTTATTTATACGACACAGTAAAAACTGGAGGAGAGTAGTTATAATAAGTTGAAAACGACTTGAGCTCCAGAGTAAAACGGTTTACTACCAATATTTCTCTGGTGTTTACTGCCAGTTTTTTGTGCTTCTTGCGTGTTGCTGCAACAAATGCAGTGGTTATCCAAGACTATAAACTAAAATTGGATTTCTTCGGAGTTGCAAAATGTATATCATGACGCAATTCCACTTGGGATTATACAGATTACACGCATTCTAGATGATATAGTGAACTATCCAAGATCGCCGAGAAGATATAACTGTTGTTTTTTAAAAGGAACTCTCAATAAATAAGACCATTGAAATAAATTTCCAAAAGAAACATAAGCATGAAACTAAAATATCCCAGAAAAAACATTTTGGAACAAACTAATCATCATGACTTTTTTAGATGGATTCAAGACACGAACGTGAAGATCGAAAACTGTGAAATTCATCTTTCTAATAAATGTCTTAACAGGAAGTTTCAAATGTTGATTAAATCTAAGAACTCTGAAAATTCAAACTCTTTATTTGAGAAAACTAATTGTTAGAACAGTTTTAGGTAACATTTCTCTTGATAATAATACTGTGTCTGTTTGTTTGTAGTTATGCACAAAGCTACACAATGGGCTATCTGTGCTCTGCCCACCACGGGTATCGAAACCCGGTTTCTAGCGTTGTAAGTCAGCAGACATTCCGCTGTGCCACTGGGGGGGGGGGGCAATAATACTGTGTTAGCTAAACGACCACATCATGTTGTTACCGCGAAACTCCATGTTAAGATATCCTGTGCTTTTTGTTGTTGGTTTTTAACTAAAAGCTACAGAATGTGTTATCTGCGCTCTGATCATCATGGAGTAATTGAATCCCTAATTTTAGCATCGTAAGTGTGTATACTTACCGTTGATCGTTTTCTTTGCACACAACTATTTTCGTTCTGTTACATTTAAAGAAAAAGAATGAGTGTTTTAACAATAATCACACAAGTAATTAAACTCGTACAAAAATTTAGTCAACATACTAGATCAATTACAAAACTAACTGTGGAAATTGTAAATATTAACATACACCTGATACCGTTTGATAGTCCTAAATCCCTACCACGCAAGTCATTCGTAACTACTGAAAATAACATTTGTATCCTTACGTGAGAGGCAGAAACTACTATAAACAGCTTGAAAAACCAACAAGGAAACTTTGACTTGACCAAGATTGAATTTTGACAACTTAATAAATCAAAAGTCGACGATAAATGTATAGGATTTTTTGTGATGAAAACAACTCCAATAATGGGAAAATTTAGGGCTGCCTAAAAGTCAAGACAACATACTTTCCAACCACTAAAATCCTATACGAAATATTGAAAAACAAAAGTGTAAATAGACTGTGAACAATATTAAAAAGAACAGTTATTTGTGTAGTTGGTTAATTTTAAACTTAAAACACCTATTATATGTATGGTTTTACCAATGGAACATAAACTTCGTGTTCCTGCATATATAAGACCCATTATTTCTACATGCACTGAGACCCTTTCTTGGATTTTAGTTAAAACGATACACCCAGTACTACGGAATGTTCATTTACGTTTGAACAGCAGTTTTTGGATTTTTTTTTTTTTCAATCTAATAACCATTTGATCAAACCGTTTGTTTGAGGCTAAACACAAAGCTACAGAATGGGCTATCTGTGTTGTGCCCACCACGAGTATCGAAACCCGTTTTTTAGCGTTGTAAATCCGTTGAGCTATTGGGAAGGGGGAGGTAGGCGGTCAAACCGTCTTCTGTTTATTTTGCCCTTAAAAAAGACTCTACATAAGTTTCAGTGTCCTATGCACCATCTTCATAGGACACCGAAACGTATGTAGAGTCCTTTTTTTAGGGCAAGCTCCTGTTTTAGTAACTATTTAATGTGTAATGATTTTAACGTTGTATTCCTTTAAATGGTAAATATAGATGTTTTACACAAGTATCGTTTAAATGATTAATTAATGCATATATTCTTAACTGGCAACATCCTGATAATTTTGAATGTGAAATAATTTCATGTAAAAAAAAAAACTTACTTATGCTTAACTCTATTCAAACTATATATATATATATTAAATTTCCCAATATTGCTCCATGTTAGTTATCCTTTCTTACAACTGCTGTCAACAACAACACTTTAAGGTTGTGTGATATGCAAGCATACCTTACGATTTCCGCCATTTTTATAAATATATAGGTATTTTTACAATTTTTAATTTAGTCTAATTCTATGCAGTTTTTGCATAGACACAAAACCGTTGACTTGTTTCGTTCTAGCTACCTTAGTTTCTTTATAGTGGTCCCCGCTGGGACAGCGGTAAGTCTACGGATTTACAACGCTAAAATCAGGGGTTAGATTCCTCTCGGTGGACATAGCAGATAGCCCGATATGGCTTTGCTATGAGAAAAACACAAACACACTTCTTTATTGTTCTCCAGCAGATAGTAACTACTTTACCTGCAGGCCCGGCATGGCCAGGTGGTTAGGGCGCTCGACTCGCAATCTGAGGGTCGCGCGTTCGAATCCCCGTCCCACCAAACATACTTGTCCTTTTAGCCGTGGGGGTGTTATAATGTGACGGTCAATCCCACTATTCGTTGGTAAAAGAGTAGCCCAAGAGTTGGCGGTGGTTGGTGATGACTAACTGCCTTCCCTCTAGTCTTACACTGCAAAATTAGGGACGGCTAGCGCAGATAGCCCTCGTATATCTTTGCGCGAAATTCAAAACAAAACTTTACATGCGTATATATTGCTGCAACTTAGAACATTGTATAGGATAGGTCATCGACGGTGATGTCCTTCACTGGCTGAGTTGATGATATCTATAAGTTTCAACCAAAAGACCAACCTGCGATGACGCTTGTCCATTATGTGTAATACTGAGGTTTCCTCTTTGTTGTGAAACGTCAGTTTTTGTCAGAATACAGAGTTTTACTTGGTTCAAGACGGGACCTGATGAACCAAACGCCATCTTAAAGGATAATAACTGTTAACTGACTCACTGATCTAGTAGGAAGGAAACTGTCCAGTGACTAAGCAAGAACGTACTCTCTG